TAGCATTTTAAAGATTTCACTAAAATACTAACGCCCATACATGGTATCTTACAGTACTCATCTAGTTCTATAGCAATAATAGAGAAGACACTTCCTTAAAAACCACTAGTCTTAAGCATGTGCATCTCTTAGACAAAGTTACATATTTAGTTAGTATTTTCAGGTGCTTAGTCCTTCTGTAAAAAACAATTACACCTGTTAATGTTGCCTGCATCCCAGAGGCCCTCCACCAAGGAAGAGATCTAAATTGTGAGGCATTGTGTGCCTGTGGATAACAGCTGGGATTAGGATTTAGGAACTGGGTTCTGCCCCTTCCTCTGCCACTAGCTGGCAGAGTGACCTGAAGCAATTCCTTTCCTCTTTCTGTACTTTGGTTTTCCCAGCTACAAAAAGGGGATAATGATACTGACCTCCTTCATACAGTACTTTGGGATTTCCTGGGTGCATCTACATATGAGACATTTACTGCGGTTACCCAATTAGCCCTGCAGTAAATGTTTCATGTCTACACATGCAGTGCCATTAAGCCACAGGAAACTAATAAACTCTGCAGCTGAGTAGTACTTATAAATACAAATACTATCCTACTGCGGAGTTATTTATTATGCAGCATTGCACGTGTAGATGCTGACCCGGGTGTAAGTTGTGCCTGACCAGATCAGCCAGCAGGGGGCCACACTCCTACCTGCTGCCTAGCCACATGGCTTGGCAGCTACATGAACCTTGTGGTTCTGCCAGCTCCTCTGCTCCACAATGCAGCCACCCACTGCCCGGGCCTGACTCTCTATGCCCCTTAACAGCTTGGGGCTGCCCCCCAGATCCTGGGCTGCACTGCAAATGGAGTCTGGAGCTCCCCCTAGCTGCTGCAGGGTGGGGGTGTGGGGGCAGCACAGAGCAGGAGCAGCCCTAGCTAGCATCAGCTGCTCCTCCCTGGCTTAATTTGCTGCTGTCCTGGGTGCACATGTAGACATTGTGCCCAGGACTAATTTACTGTGGCACATGTTGCTCTGCAGTTTATTGTCACATTATTTGCACATGAAGGCACACTCCCTGTTAACACATACCATATCAGATCATACAGGGAGGATAAGATTACATATTAGGAAAAACTCTTTCACTAGGTGGGTAGGAAAGCACTGGAACAGGTTCCCTAGAGGGGCTGTGGAATCTCGATCCCTGGAGGGGTTTTTTTGGACCCAACTAGACAAAGCCTTGGCTGGGATGATATAGTTGTTCCTAGTCCTGCTTTGAGCAGGGGGTTGGACTGGATGGCCTCCTGAGGTCCCTTCCAGCCCTCACTTACTGTGATTTTATGATTCTATGATCTGGGCATTGTTATTACTACAATGATTGTCTATAGAGAAAGTCTACCCTTTTTTGGAATAAGCTGACTAGCTATGCTTTCCAGACCTTATTGAACCCTATACGCACTACTATTGTTGTTGCCATAATCTACATATATCCTAGTTCTGTCCCAGAGTCCCAAACCAGGCTCTCTTGTGCTAGGAGCTGTATAAACATTTAAGGACAAGCAGGCCCTGCTTCAAAGAATTTACCATATAAAAAGTCTAAAATCAGATACTGGGTAGGAGAAAAAGGATACAGCATACAAGTGATCAAACAAGTGGCAAGCACAAGGCATGTTAGAAAAAAAGGAGTGGAACTGTTTTGGCATACGTTACAAAAATGAAATAGTATGTCTCTCGAGGGCACTTGGATTACAAGTGGGGGAGAGGAAGGAATTCTGTGAATAAAGGATGAAAAGGAAAAAGGAGGACGAGATTGAGGGCATGGTACATAAAAGAAGAAAAAGACAGGAACATTTGTGTCTGTAGAAGACTGGCACTACTACTACAGACTTGTCATCCGGACTGGCATGAGGAATCTTCATCATCTTTCTAGCAGTCATGGTAGAAAGTATGCAAGCCTCCCTTACGTACGGGACTGGCTAAGTAAAGATACAGCTCCAAGCAGGATCAAAGGATCTGTTCACAGCTACCTCCAAAATCTTCTGACCAGCATATGTAGCCTTGTAGGAATGATGGCCAGAAAAGCAGATAGCAACAAGGACCCTGCTATGAATGCTAGACCTGATGGCCACAACAGTTTATAATACGCCTTCATACAGCCTCTCTCATGGCTGGCTATGTGGGTGGTTTGCAACCACTGAGATTTGCACATCACCCTGTTCTGTGATGGAAACACTGAGCAGGAAAGTCCTGCATAAACTTTAATGGATGTTAGATCAAACCCTTAGGATACATAGTCCCCCCTCATTCCTCCTCTGTCCCCCATAAAAATACCATTAGTAAATGTCCTGGAGATGGGAATGCCCCTGTACAAACTCTGAAACTTTGAATCTAAAAAAGCATTTGGGAGACTAAGACTCTGGAAGCCCAAACAATCAGGCTGCAAGCAAAGCAGTGCAGGTTTTGTTCCCTGTGGTGGGAACTGCCTGTTCCTGTTCTGCGTCCTTCTAAGAGACAAGTGAATGTCACTTCATCTCCCTGCTGACAGGTGTGAAGGACAGAGGCCCTGTGAGAAGGTGGAGATTTAAAAAAGAACAGATGTCAGGGAACTCACAAGTTATTGTTCCTACTGCAATGGCAACTGTGCCACATTGTACATACAGAAAACAGGCATTGAAGGTAACTGCCTGTACTACATATAAACATTTGCTGTCTACACTGCTCTGCTGTGGCAGATCTTAGATACATGCCATGACCTTTCATTAACAATGTTTTCTCTACTTAATATCATGGTATATGACACTAGGCACTCCCCCCTAGAAGATGCCTTTTGCTAAACTGCCAGATAATTTACATGAAGCAGAACAGAAAATGCTAATCTTGTACAGTGCTCTCTTTAAGCACATTATAAACATTCTAATTTAACATGCTGCTAAGAATGAGGTTCATTTTTAACTAAAAAATTACTGTCAAGGGCCCGTAAGTGATACACTAGGCAGAGCACATTACAAGGTAGGAGATAAAAATGGATTACAGAAAGCTAGCGGGTTGCAAAAAGAATAATCCTTCATCAGTGGAAACACCATCTCCAGCCCCTAAAGGAATGCTCTCAAGAACTAATGAAAAAACTAACCTTCAGAACATGCAACAGAGCAGATCAAGTTCTAGAGATATAGTACCTGTTCTTGAATGAGTCAAACTCACAGATATGAAGTGGAGGGAAAGGTCGTTTGCAAGCAGGTAGACCATAAAGAAAATTTCTGTCTGTCCCTAGTCTCATCCCACTTATCTGCTTTTAACATTTTGTCTATGCATTTTATATTTTAGAAGGAGAGCAGCAGTGATTTTGCTGGCTGTCAGACCTGCTTTGTCAGTTGTACCATTCTGTATCTGGGGAATGGTTTCTTTTACTGCAGTGGATTAACATTGCAGCCTTCCAGGGACATCACCTTGTCAATACAGTCCAGTTTTCAAGTTATTTTGCTATCATCCACACACAAAAATATGGCAAAGAAGCATCATGAAATTCATAATTATTACTAAGACTTTCTGCCTTTTTCATGAAAGAATATGGATACCTTGGGATATTTGGGGTTAAGTGTCATCTTCACACTACTATGTTGTTTTCACATATCTAAACATGTTGACACTGAAATAATTCAAATTCAGCATTCATCTGTGGATCTATAGTGCTCTCAGTGGAAGTAAATGGACAGTGTATTTCCATTGTTTTCGTACTATAATCCTCCTTTTAAAAATTTGGGTGAATAAAATCTTTGATACCAATGAAAATAACATGTCAAAATCTGTACTGAGAATTCCTCATAAATTCCTAACAGAAAACAAGGAACTCTGAATGGTCTTCATGAGATAAGAAGCATATCAGGGAGATATCTAGAAAAGTGATGAATAGATGACGTGTTTGCATGAATGATAAAACAGTTTATAAAAGTACTGAAAGAAAAAAGATGAAGGCTCAAAATTTCTGTTCCCCCAAAAAAAACTAGCCAGAAGGAGGCAGTAATATATTTCTAGTTACTACCGTACCATCCCTGTTCAGTACTGTATCTAACCACTTCACAAACATTAACTAACTAACCAACTGGGGCAAAAGAATATAGTTCTATTGAAGTTACATCCATTTTCATCTAGTTGAACATAGAACCCAATGTATTTCTCGGTGTTTAGCTAATAAAACTTCTACTTGATGTTGAAAACCAGGGAGAGAATGAGATAAAGGGGGTAAATATTAAGTGGAATCAGAATCAAACACAACTTGTGGATCATGGATGAAATCCCAGCTCCACTGAAAACAATGGCCACGTACTCATTGGCTTCAATGTGGCTGAGATTCCATCCCCAAAATCTTGAATAATAAAACCACATGTTACAACTCTAAGAAAATTCTGCACTTGTATAATTAAAATTAAATGATGGAGTTGCCTATTAAAAACCATCTGTTCCATCACTTCCCTATATTTTTCTTGTTCTAAATGACAATAAGACCAATTGCTCTAATTTGGCCAAGCATTTCAGCATGTGCGTAAGTCCTTCACAATTCAGCAAAGCACCAATTTCAATGGGATTTAAGCAGATGTTTATATTAGACTCTAAATGCTGATACTCAGACTTGCAGGGAAGAAAAGACTGTCATTTTATTTTCCTGTTAAAAAAAAATCTTGAGACAAAGTACTGACACATTGTGGAAATGATCCTTTTGGCACCTGATTGGTGAATGATGCTGAAGGCTGAATTGTTGCTTCATTCCACAACAAAGATGTATACTGCTATTTAAAGGAAATGCCTGTTATTTAACTCAAACAATATGAAATCAAAATAAAGACCATACTTTTAATATGAAAGAAAATCAAGGGATTTAGGGAAATTAGTGCAGGTTTCCTATTGTGCATGCTCCTAAGGGGCGTACTGTGTGCCATCCAAACAGTCAAAGTCAAAATATGAAGTCTGTCTCTCAAAGAACAATGACCTCTTAGGATTCATTAACTGTTTTCTCCACATTGCATAGCTCACCTGATCCTGTCTGATGCTCCGCAGCCCCTGATGTGTGAATAAGACGAGGCAGGCATATTTTCCCCTCAGTTTTGGTTACTTTTCCCCCTGATCTTTATAGGTCATCTGCATTTGTCCCCCTGTTTCATTAGACTGGCATCCTTTTTCATTAGTGTCCTGTCTGGCTGTTCAGTGCCATACGCGCTTGAAAGTACAATCGCTGTTTGGATTTGGAGGGAGGCTTTTGAAAAATCTAGGTCATGTACCGTAAGTTTAAATATGATTTGTTCTGTAAGGTGCAGAGACGAGATCGCCTTGCTAAAACTGCTGAGCAGATGTATACATTTGCACAAAGAGAATCAATTTTCAATTTCATTGATCAGATATCAACTTGACTGCCAGGGCGATTTGGAGATTTGTTGTGCTTGCCTATGAACAGGTGTTATGTTCAGCACATGTGCAGCACCATTAAATATCTTCGTTTTGCTTCTCAATTCAGTATGTACTAGGACTTCAAGAATCTTTCAGATCTAAAAAAACTGTGCATCTAGGAGGACTAGCTTCTACACCCAAATCTCTGTGGGATTAACTCTCTCGATGTATGTGTGTGTTCAGTTTATCAGAGCAGCGGGTTTTCTGTGAAATCACAGAAGTTGGAACCATCTGGAAGGGTTACTGTGGAAACAGCACAGGATAGGAAGGGGATGGGAGGAGGGATGCCATGACAACCTTTTGGGGTTTCCCAGGAAACCAGGGTTGCTATGGAAACTGTATCACTCAGATCCGAATTAGTAACTTCCGCTGGAAGGCGTGTTTGCCACTTTAATCTTCTTGTGATAGATGGAGACGCTTATCTCAAATGCATTGCAAATAGCCAAATAGGCGGAAATATCCCCTTTGTTTCTAGGTTGATGGGTTTTGTTTGAGGCTGCACAGTCACTGCAAAGAGACCGTTACTGATTTAATGGGAGACTAACAATCCCTAATCTGCATAGACATCATAGGATGCACAAACTCTCAGGATACTGTTCACTAACTCAATTGTTAATCTTTGCGATTTGGTAGGAAACATTTCCTCTACAACATCATGCAACCAGCAATTTCAGGTTGCATGAAACAATCCCGTCGGATTGCAAGGGAAGGGAATTAGCAATAGGAAACTAGCATGTTTTTTTCTGGTTAAATCAAAACTGCTTACGTTTGGTCTCTGAACAAATTTATCTGGGGAGAAAAAGAAATCAAGAATGTGCCTGTAAATGACACACACCACGTTTCAATATTAAGCATCACTTAACAGTGTGGTAGCAGAGACAGTTTGCAAAATTAAATGGTCATTTCCTTCCAAATATGCTCTGCTACATGATTTTATTTTCTCCCCTTCCGACTCATAGTTTTCATTCCAACAAGTGCGTGTATGTGGTGGGAAGGGAGAATCGGCTACACACTGCCTCGCTTCAAAAATAATAAGAAAAAAAAGCAGAAACGGCAAGCTGCTCCCCCCTCCAAAAACAAAAACCAAAACCCAGAAGCAGCCCTGCAACATGTTGCAGAACAAACACCTGTTTCAGCCGCGAGCGTGTTCTTCTCTAGGTCCTTTTTTCCTTCCCATTCTCTTTTCTTCTGATTCTTAAATCCCTTTCTTTGATCTTAAAAAGGAATCATCTGAAAAAATAAATGTATAAAACAAGGGTGCACACACAGACCAACGATGGTGCATGTTCCACACAATACAGATAACACAGTCACTTTGCATTATTATTTTTGTTTTTATACACATCCTCGGATTTTTTTAAACATCCGTAAAGATCTTTTTGATGTTCACACAGTTGGGATTGTTTGTAGTTGTGCAGTTGCCCGTCTTAAAAGCAGCCTGTTTGAATGCACTGTGGTTGATTCCTCCCTCCTCTATCACCATGTACTCTGACTTGCTCAGGGTGGAATTGCTGCGAGCCTTCTTCATCTCCTCAGTAGACGAGAGGTGCTGACAGCTCCCTACATGCATATACTGGGCTTGCTCCTCGCCTTCGGTCTCCCGATGGTAAAAGTAGTTGAAATTGGAGACTATCACAGGCACAGGAAGAGCAATGGTTAGCACCCCGGCAATGGCACAGAGGGACCCCACAATCTTTCCCCCAATGGTGATTGGGTGCATGTCCCCATAGCCCACTGTGGTCATGGTCACCACTGCCCACCAGAAGGCGTCAGGGATGCTGCTGAATCCTGAGCTGGGATCGTCAGCCTCTGCAAAGTAGACAGCACTGGAGAAGAGGATGACTCCAATGAAGAGGAAGAAGATGAGCAAGCCAAGCTCCCTCATGCTGGCCTTGAGGGTCTGTCCCAGAATCTGCAGCCCCTTGGAGTGCCGAGAGAGCTTGAAGATGCGGAAGACCCTGACCAGCCGAATGACCCTAAGGATGGCTAGGGACATGGCTTGCTGGCCGTTACCCTGCCTCTCCGCCAGCTCAGTGCCCAGCGTGATAAAATAGGGGATGATGGCCACAATGTCGATAATGTTCATGATGTTCTTAGAGAAGGTGGCCTTGCTGGGACAGGCGAAGAAGCGGACAAGCAGCTCAAAAGAGAACCAGATGATGCACAAAGTCTCCACCACAAAGAAGGGGTCGGTGAAGGATGACACCATGGAGGGGGCCGAGGAAGAATTGGTGAAGACGTCCGGTGTGAACGGGCCACCCCCCGTCCCAAAGGTTCCACCCGTCCCCTCGTAGTCTCGGTCATCCCTGAACTCGGGCAGAGTCTCCAGACAGAAGATAACGATAGAGATGAGAATGACAAGGACCGAGACGATGGCGATGCCTCGAGCTGGCCCAGAACTTTCTGGGTACTCAAAGAGGAGCCACACCTGGCGCTGAAACTCCTTGTTGGGCAAAGGCCTCTGCTCCTCGCGGATGAAGCCCTCGTCCTCCCGGAACTTCTCCATGGCCTCCTCGCCCAGCTGGTAGAAGCGGATCTCCTCCGAGAAGATGTCGATGGGCACGTTGACCGGGCGCCGAATCCGGCCCCCGGACTGGTAGTAGTAGAGGATGGCGTCGAAGCTGGGCCGGTTGCGGTCGAAGAAGTACTCGTTGCGCAGGGGGTCGAAGTAGCGCATCCTCTTGCGGGGGTCTCCCAGCAGGGTCTCGGGGAACTGCGCCAGGGTCTTGAGCTGGGTCTCAAAGCGCAGGCCTGAGATGTTGATGACCACCCGCTCGCAGCACTCGTGCTCCCCGCCGCCGCCCTGGGGGTGGTGCCCAGGGGGCACGGGCGCGTGGGCCGGCGGGGGGTCGTAGCGCTCGCCGCCCAGCAGAGGATGGGGGTGCTGGGGCTCCTCCAGCAGGGGGTCGCCCCCGCCCACCACCACGGTCATGTCTTCCTCCTGCCCTTCCTCGGGGGCGTCGGGGGGCGCCTGCTCGCTGTAGCCCGGGTTGTGGTGGCTGCTGCTGCTGCTGCCTCCCCGCGGGTGCCTGCTGGTGGAGGAGGCGGCGGGCGAGTACAGCAGGCTCAGGTGCTCGTCCATAAAGGTGACGGGGGCGGCGGGGCGCGGGGCAGAGGG